AGAGAGAACACATGGTCTGTGAGCCAGTGCACAGGAAGCTCTTTCTGTGATTCCCACGATTCAGTGCTGTTTGAACTGGAGAGACTGGTTTACTTCCTCATCACACAGATTAGCATTTCCTGTCATGTGAAACATGTGCCTCAAGTTCTCCAAGTACTTGCTCAATAACAAAGTTGTGAATAAAGAAATGCATTAAAGGCATTTCTCGTTCTGTTATGCAATGTGGTTTCCATATGGGATATGTTTCTCCCAACCTTTAGCAATAAGATATTTGCCATTTTTAAGTAAACTATATACTTTCTTTTAACAGACAATGATATTTGACATTTCCCTTGTTGCATTGGCTGCCAGGAATCTCAGGGTTATGTTTAGTACATAATTTCAGAAATAGGTTCATTCTAGATTCCTTGTATAATTATGTCATTTTTTCTAGGTGATTTCAGTTCTTCATTAAAAATATTGCTACCTTGGAAGTACTATAAAATTGTAAGTCACCTCAAATCCTTTCTGGGACTCTGAAGGGTCTAATTTCTACATAAAGTAAAAATAAGTAAGAGTTGTTGAAGAAAGTCTGCTTATCACAGTTAAATGTAGCTCAAAAATATCATATTTCTGGAAAACCTGAATGGAATATGCAGCAACAATTAAAAGTTTAGGTTCAGCAAATGTGGATTTTCATCTCACTCTGTGTGTCACTGAAAATTCTTGACCCCAGTGACATAAAAGTATTTTCCATGATGTATTTGTAAAATCTTTCAAACACGCTAGTGTCTAGATATATGGTCCTTCAGTCTTATTAACATAGAGAGACTTTAGGCCCTCATTTAATGTATAAGGAAATGAGTCGCCCATAAGAAAATGATATTTTTTTCTAGGTTGTTAAAAAAAAAGTAAGAATGTAGCACATAATAGAAAGCCCAACACAGTTGGATGTATAGTAAAGAAAGTTATACCATGTTCATAGATGAAAAGCTTCTGTGACTTCTCACTGTGTTTCTTTAAAGAACTTATAATTTACATGAAATAAACTGTACCGACTTGAAATATGCATTTCTGTGAATTTTAACAAATGTAGACCTCCACAATCAGGATATAAAATATTTCCACCACCCCAAAGAGCTTTCCACACACCTTTGTAGCTCATCACACCCACCTCTAGCCCCAGGTAAGCACTGGTACACTCTCCATCATGGTGAATTAATTCTGTCTATAGGAGAAGTTCTAGAAATGTACTCATCTGTGTCTATATTCTCTCACTGAGCACAATACTTTGGAAGTTAATCCCAGTTGTATGTATCTATAGTTTGTAATGTTTTATTGCTAAGTAGTATTCCATTGTATGTCATCATGGTTTCAATCTATAATGTCCTAAGAAGTGGTGTGGAGCATGTTTCCATGTGCTTAGTTGCCATTATTTTTCTTCTTTGGTGAATTTGCTGATTACATCCTTGGCCTCTGTTTTTATTATTATTATGGTAAAATATACATAATAAAACTTTATCATTTTAACTATTTTTAATTATCTGGGTCTGTGGTGTTCAGTACAGCCACATTGGTGTGAGACTGTCACCACCATCCTTCTCGAAAACTTGATTCATTATTCCCATGTGTATTTTCCTTTTGTATAAGTTCAGGTAAATGTCTAGTAAATGTCCTTTGCCAATTTTTAAATAGAGTTGTTTGCTTTTTGTTGTTGAGTGAGGTTTTTTTTTTTAAACAATTGATTTTATTTCCTTGTTTGTTACATACTGTTTTGTTTGAGAGTCCTGTGTATTTGCATACAAGTCATTGATCAAGTATATATTTACAGATTTTTTTCTTTCAGATTTAATATTTTCTAGTAGCTCTCTTAATATTGGCTTTTACAGAAGAGCAAGCTACTGTTCCCTAAAATCATGAGTCACTCATGAGGTGACCCACTAGTTATCTGGACATGAAAAAGCAGAGTAAGCAAGATCTGGAGGCAAGATGGAGACATTCAGGGGGGCAAAAGGTCACATGATCAGTCCAGTGGGCTAAATAATGGCCACCCAAAGATATCCAGGTCTTAGTCCCTGGTACCTGCAAATGTCCCCTGATAAGGAAAAGGGGTGTGTACAGATGGGATTAAGGTAAGGATCTTGATGTGGAGATCATCCTAGACTATCAGGGTTAGTCACTAATACTAGACACAAGTGTCTTTTAAGAGAGAGGCAGCGGTGACTACACACAGAGCAGGATGAGGCAATGTGACCACAGAGACAGAGCAGTCATGCAGCCACAAGCCAGGGAGATCCGGCAGCGACTTCACCTAGAGGAAGTCAGGTGTGGATTCTGGAACAAGTACATCCCAAACAACAACCCTGACTGCTGCCAGTAAACTGATTTCGGTGATGGAGTTCAGGACTCATTACCCCAAGACATGGCATCAAATCTTTCTTTGTTGCAAGGGTCTCAGTTGAGAATGTAGAAGGGCAGAGGGGGAAGATATTTTTCCTCCCTACACAGATTTCTGGCCCCCAGAATTGAGGAAATAAATTTCCCTTTTTTCAAGACACCAAGTGTGTGTTCATTTGTTACAGTGGCCCCAGGAAACCAGTACAGGTGGGGATTCAGTGAGCCCCGCTGGGGGATGCAGAGAAGCACCAGAGCAAGTCCTCCTTCACCAGACCCATTCCTCTGCCCCTCTTTGCAGCCAAATTTCTCAAAGGCTCCTCTGTAACCACCCTTCCCATCCCCTCCTCCAGTCTCTCCCGAGTCAGCAAGGTCACATCTTCACACTTTTCCCACCAACCATGAAACGACTGTTGTCAGGATCACCAGAGACAACGTATTGCCTGTGCCTTCTCTCCCCTATGTGCTATCACCTCGTCTGACTTCATCAACTGTCATCACCTACACTGGCTGCGTGTGTTCACGTCTCCAGCCAGGACCCCTCTCCTCATATCCAGCTCTCTCACTGACAGTGTCAGTCGGTATCAAGTGGCTGCTCAGAAAGAACATCACCCTCCAAACCCTCCTGTCTGCATCCTTGAAACACGTCCCCATCCTTCCAGGTGCTCGGGAGAAACATCTGGGCACCGTCCCTGCTCTTCTCTTTCCCTCAATCCCACATCCAATAGGGAACTCAGTCCATTTGACCTGCAAAATATATGGAAAAGTAAAACCTCAGCCTCCCCTCTACCTCCCTGGTTCAACCACCATCACCTCCTGCCCTCCATGCCCTCTCTGTTTGCAGCTGTGGACACACTCTGGCCTATTGTGATCAGAGCAGCCATGGGGATGCTGCTACAAGGGGCGCTCTGTCATGTCTCTGCTCTCCTACGAGGCTCCCGGATTCCTGCATTTCCTGCAAGGCCTCACATGGGTTGTCCATGAGAGATCACCCTCCCAGCAGCCCCCTGCTATGCCTTCCAGTGTTGTCACAGCACCACTTGTCCCACAACACGCCAGGCTGCTTCTGCCTCAGAGCTGTGACACTGTTTTCCCATTCCCGGGTAAACTCCGTTAGGCAACACAGAACCTGCTTTCTCACTGTCTCCAAGTCTGTGCTCAAACATCACTCTTCACACTCTCAGGTGTAGGGAATTGTCCCCCCATGTGTCACCTGATTCTTTTCTTAGGTGATTCCTCCACAAACACATATCACCACCCAAAATGCCAGTATATTTTTATTCATTTCTTTGTATATCTATACTCTTGTTTCTAGAATGACAGCTCCTTGATGACAAATTTTTGATGCCATGTGCACTCTTGCATTTTTGGCATCTGCAACAATGCTGGCACATACATAGTAGGTGTTCTATTTGAATTGTTTAAGAAGTCTAAAAATAGATGACTTGATTTTACTTTGTTCAAAACCATAAAGAATCACACACACACACACACACACACACACACACACTCACACTCCAATAAAGGTGACTTTTAACTGAGACTGAAGCATGATCAGCACATGGGGATGTAGGAATGTGGAGGGAAGGGCATTTCAGGAGAAGGAACTCCACATATAAGTCTAGAGTCACAAATGTCCCGGCTGGGTGTGGAGATGGTGTGGGATGCAGGTAGTGGTGGAATCTGGTGGGGAGTCCAGCAGGGGACAGACCACAGCAGACCCTCCAATCCAGCCTGTGGTGTTTGCACCTGCGTCTCTGGCCACAGACAGGAAACATCGCTGTCATACTTTTCAGGAAGCAAATGATACGGTCTCTGGAAACACTGTCTGGAGAATGGGCTGAGGAGTGAGATGGAGGCAGGAGGTTGGTGGGTTCACAGACACAAGGAAAAGGTGAAGGGGCAGGAACCACCAGAGTGAAGATGGGGAAGAAATGGGCATTATGGTGAGCTGTGATTAGGAGGAATATGAAGAAGACTTAGTGATTTATTGCATTAAAAGAATGAGGGAGGGCAAAGTGGAGAACCACATCTTTAGAGGAGGGAGCCACTGTGTCACCCATATGACAGAGAACACAGAAGAGGAGTGGGTATGGGGAGGAAGGAAGGGGACAACTCAGCTTTGGCCATGTTGAGCAGAGAAATCCCGAAGGTCATCCTGGAGAAGGTTTCTGTGGGATGTTGGGTGGTGAGACACCTGCATCACTCACCTGAGACATTAACCCGGGATGGCGTTTGCATCCTCCGTGCCCCCTGTGGATGTGGTCCTGTTCCTCCTGTGATACCTCACTCTGAGAGAAGAGACTAGGTTCTTTCAGTCTGGTTGGATAAGGGTGCAGTGGGCAGCAGACCCAGCCCCTTGTTCCCTGTTCAGGATCTGGGGGTAGTGAGAGTTGGGAAAAGGCCGGTCTAGCCATGCAGACCACCTTGAGCACAGCAGGTACCTCCATCCTGGACAGTCGCCAACTGAAGCACACACATGAATGCCTGTGTGGAATCCTCACTCACCTCCTCTTCACTCCTGTCATCCCTGCTTAACATTCATGAGTCCCCCCAGCCCTGATTCTGGGACTCAGTCACATACCCCCTGCCCTCCCCATGCCTCCTCTCCCTGGGCCAGAACTCACATGAGGACGATGAGGCAGAGAAGGAGGAGCAGGGTCTTGACAGCCACTTCCCCGATGGCCACCAGCATCACCTCTGCCCTGGGCCCTGATTTCCCTGTAGGAACTAGAGGCAAGGACAAATTTACCAGGTCAACTGCAGACTTGTGTGTCTTCCTCTCCCAGTAGGACTCTGGCTGTTGTCCTCCAGCCTTTCTGCAGCACTGGTTGTGGGACCACCTATGCCTTCACCCCTCCCCGTGGTATGACCTTTCAGCAGTTGGGCTCAGAATAAATTGCAGAAGTCAGGCCTCATCAAACAAAACATCTTGTTTATCAATTGACACTATGCAGACAGTGAAAAGCCAACCCATTTAAGGGGGGAAATATTTGCTAATCAGAGATTTTATAAGGATTAGTACCCAGCATATATAAAGAATTCTTACAACTAAACAACACAAAGTCAATCACCCAATTAAAAAATGGGCAAAAGGGTCGGCCAATTGGCTCAGTTGGTAAAGAGTTAGCTTAAGATCACAAGTTCTGAGCACCAGTCTCGCCAGTTTGGATCCCACATTTGCCAGTGACACTGTACCCTCTAAAATTGTGAATAACAGCTCGACCTGGAGCTCGGTTGCCGTGAGTCACTGACAATGGCATAGGCTGCAATGGAGCTACATTGGGCTGCCATAAGCTACCATCAGTGGTCAGCAGCCAGCATGAGCTTTCGGCAGCCAGTGTGAGCTGACACGAGCTGCTGTGAGCCACCGTGAGCGGCTGTCCAATGGCCGGCCGACTGCCTCAGCCAAGAAGAGCGCAATGATCATAATACCAACATAGGCCAGTGAACAGGCGTCCTCTACACTAGAATGAAGAGCAAAGGACAGCAACTTGTCTGTTCCCCTTCCCTGATTCCCCAACACTGTTCCCTCCCTTAATTCCCCATTAAAATCTCGGGGGAAAAAGCCATCATTTGGCCCGAAATAAAAATTTTCAACTATCCACAGCTGAGTTTCTTAATGTGAAAATGGTTGCTTCAAATGATTAAGAAGAGGTCCAGACTTCTGGTAAGATGGCGGAATAGAAAGACGCTGTGCCGACTACCTCCAAGGATCACACTAAAATTGCAAATAATTTATAAGATATTCAACCTCGGAAGTCCCCTGGACCCTAGATGAGCAGAACCTCTAAATGAAGGACTTAAAGAGGAGGCCACATCAAGTCCAGTAGGAGGGGCGGAGACGAGAGAGGGCAAACCCCGTGAGGGTCACCTCACGGTGGGGAGGCTTCTCCAGTTGGGGGCAAGACACTCTGGCCCCACACTGTGCACACCACCCCAGAGTTACGTTGCGGGGAAGAGGAGTTCTATGATAGCTGGAAGTAGAAAATAGTGAGGACTCTCTTTGCTCGGCTCGGTGAAGCTGGGGGCGGTTGGAGAAACAGTGGAGCTGGCAAACCGACACACTCGCTGGTGAGCACTCACCCGGTTCCTGGTGGAGGGAATATCTTTGTGAGCGGAGCCCAGGAGCCTCCGGAAAGGACTGAACCGAGTGCCTTTGGCACAGGAGCTCGAGGTTTTGGGGACCATTGTTCCCCTGCTGTGGAGCTTGCACACGAGTAGTGCACAGGAGGCTGCCATTTTTTCAGGGCTGGGCCCTCCCACAGAGGCTCAGGTCTGGGACTGCATTGGTCTGCTGGAATTGGCGCAGGAGTGCATGGGTGCATGCGAGCGTGCGTGTGCATGCGGCCTTGGATCCCCACCCTCCATACTATTTGTGCTGTGTAACCAGGGAAATGCCGGGCAAGTGCACTCCGACTAAAACAGACTACTTATTGAGACCCGGAAGTGTGCAACTCGCCTTAGGGCCCTGATTTCCGCACTGCACGTGCAGAGTTGTCTCGGTGGCAATTGGCAGTCGGGCTGCTTGGCCTGATCTTTGAGTGGCTGATTGGAGCAAGCTGAGACAGGGAGTTTTGCTGGGAGTGTAGGGCCACGAGCTGTGCACCAGCGTGATTCAGCCAGGGCTTTCCAGGCGAGTTTGTGTGGGTTGGCTGCTGATGCAGGAGTGCGTGCTGCTCTGACTTGGTGGGGGCCACTCACCACACCCTGTGGTGCCTTGGGGGCCTGCACTGCCCACATAGACCTGTGTTGCCAGGGGCACCCTGGGCCCTGGGTCCTAGCTCCTACCTCTGCAGGCCACAGAGTGGTTTTTTTTTGCAGCAGCAGACAACCTGCAACAACCTGTGAGGATTTTTGGTGGTGAGCACAGTTCCAGAGCACACAGCAACTAATTGTGGGATGCTCGCTTCAAGTCTAGAGGGAGGTCAGTGCATGATGCACTGAGCCCTTCCCCCCAACAGCTGGTGCTGAGTCGCCCAGAATCTCTCTATTGCTGAGCAAGTGATCTGCAGATTAAAGTGGGCAGAGAGCCCCTCCTTTTCTTTTTTCTTTTTTCTTTCTAGGTGATCTAATACAGCGAAGCAATCAGAGTGACAGCCAGAATGAAGAAACAAAGAAACATGTCCCAAGTAAAAGATCAGAAGAAACCTCAACAAATGCAGCTAAGTGAAATAGAGGTATCCAACCTTTCACAGACAGAGTTTAGAACAATGATGACAAGAATGTTTCAAGAACTTAAGGCGGACATAAAGAAGGATACAGAAATCATAAAAAACAACCAGGTAGAACTAAACAATACAATAACTGAAATGAAGAACACACTTGAAGGAATCACCAGTAGATTAGATGAAGCAGAGGATCGGATCAGTGATTTAGAAGACAAAATAGCAGAAATCACTCACTTGGAA